TTTCCCTACTTCTTCACCTCCACAGTTGCTGGACATGTTTGGGAGCCTTTTGGAGCGACCAGTAATCGCTGCAGATGCTGCTGACAAATACTCTGTCCTCATCAGCATGTTCAACAGAGCCTTAGACCATGCCAGGCTGATCTACTCGAGGCACATGCAGGCAGAGCTGGAGCTCGGTGGGTGGCATGTGCTAAGTAAAATTGATTTTACAGGAAATTGGATTAAGATCAATTTAGGGGAGGAAATAATGTGCTTTTTCTAAGGAAACCAAAACTTCCCAAATTGCAAATGTTTTCAGCCTCTATAGCTCCTAGTGGAAATGGAAATGCCTGCGAAAGCTTTGTTCTTAATATTAAAGCAAATAATCTGTTGGGGGAAAAAAGATTTTTTTAAATGTGTGTATGTGATATGTGACTTGGAATGAAGACACATGCTGATTTTTTTCCTCAGCAAGGCTGTGACAAGAGGTTTCTCTCCACACTTGTGCATTGCCTCGAGCACCCCATGGGACTTGCAAACCTGCCATGTGCTCCCCAGTATGAATTTATTACATTTCCCTCGTAATTCTTTAAATGCTAAGTATGTGAATGGGACTTTATAACCAAGGGTTTAATCAGCCTTTTCCAGGTCTATTATTTCCCATGATTGTTGGCACAGGAGGGAATGGGTAGATTCCTATCAGATTATGAGGATTAAAGTGTACCTTTTGAAAAATAACCCATTTACATGCCTCAGAAAGATTGTACTGGAACCGGGCAAGTCCAGAAGAGGCAGCACTGCTGGAACCAGCGCAGGTTAACAAAGGGAATGGAGAGATCCATGGAGGACAAGTTCATCATTTGCTGTGAATTAGAGGGGTGTTGTTCAGTGGGTGTTAGGCAAGACGGTCAGGACTAGCTCCTGGTCAGAAATCCCTACATCAGTGTTTGTGGGGAGCAGGGAGTGCATCCCAGGCAAAGGATGCCTCTGTATCAGCTCTGTTTTGAAGGTATGCTGGGCTTCTCCTTTGATCTCAGGTTCTTATTTGGGGTCCTGAGGCACTAGGAGACTTGCCCTGGTCACAGACCTACATCTGTGTAACAGGTGCTTGGATTTAAGGAAGAAAGCTGGGAAATTTGAGCAGTTGAGTTGCTTTTGGTGTATCTTCGGGGTTACAAGTGCAGTGTTCAGTCAAATTCTGTTTCTATGTGCCACCCCCAGGATCCCCCCCTGTGCATAAGAACATGCCACCAGTAGCTGGAGCACTGGGCTGGGCTCGGGAGCTGCGAGCAAGAATCCAGGTGCCATTTGGTCACTTCAGGCACATCCCACATCTGTGCGTGACTGATCCAGCTAAGTTGTTTTATGACCATCTTGATCTCTTTTCTCTAATCAATCTGATTTTCTTTCTGTATTGAACATTATCCAATGGTTATAGCTGAAATAATTCTGAGTAAAAGAGGTGTGAAGTGATGACACTGGTGCTTTTCAGCTTCCCTGCGATCATTTTTTTCAAGAAACTCATTAACAGGGTTTGTTTTGAAGTGGTTAAGAGGCACAGTGGGATAGTACACAGGCTCTTCAGCTTTCAGACATAGTCTTAGGTAGCAACTGAAAGAGGTATCGAAACCTTTCTCACTGCAATCCCACTCAGCATGTGCTGCAGGACCTCCTTGGGAGCAGCCCCCCTTGGCTACAAGCCCCGGGTCTGGCATCAGCCAAGCTATGAAGGCCAGAGAGGTGCCGGACTGGACTTATCTAAGATGGATCGATGGAGCTGAGTTTTCAGGCTGGTGAACAGATGAGGACTTGGCTGGGCACTGGCATAAGGCAACAGCATTAAACAAAGGAGCAATCTCCCAAGATCAGGGAAAGAAACTAGTGCTGGAATACTTATCACCCCTATGGTTGTTATTATGGGTGGTCTTGGAGAAGTGCGGCCCCACGCTCACAGCGGCCACATCTCATGGCACCGTATGAGACAGCATTTAAAAGCCCTGTAAACAAAGCAGTGCTGGACTTAGGGCAACCGAAGGTGCTCCAGGGACTGCATCTCATAGCTCACGGGAGTAACTTTACTTGTGCCGGACAGGATTCTAAGTAAATGGATCCACTTTTTTTTATGTACTTGACCAAAATAAGCCATCTCCATCACTGTGCAGTATTTGTAGCCTTCTCTCACTGTTTATTGCTGTTAAGTGTCTTTAAGTGCACAGTTATTCTGCAGCAGTAAAGACATCAGTGCAATGAAACAGGCTCTTGGACCGTTCCCAGCACAGAGCCCAAGTTACCATCTGAATGGCAAATTTTGTAAGCCATGAAGAAGGACCCAGATCTGCATTTTGCATTGGTTTTCCTTCCTCTGTTTAGAGAGTTGATAACATGCCCTGCAGCAGGGGGGACATGATGCTGTTTCCTGTGTGCAACTTGAAAGGGAAAAAGGATTAAAAAGGAAAAATGAAGATGGTTTTGCTGGGATTTGCTTGGGGGACTTGTTTACTTCTAGAGGGTTTGATCGGCACTTGCCCAGTGGTGACTGCTCAGGTGCTTCCTTTGCTAGGTTTTGTTTAAGTTAATTCAGGTTTCGTCAAATGTCCTCCAAAATCAACAACCATTTTCAGGAAAGCTTGGATGTTACAATAGAATAGCTTAAAATAGACTAGACTATTTCAGTTGGAAGGGACCTACAACAATCATCTAGTCCAACTGCCCGACCACTTCAGGGCTGACAAAAGTTAAAGCATGTAGTTGAGGGCATTGTCGAAATGCCTCTTAAACAATGACAGGCTTGGGACATCACCACCTCTCTGGGAAGCCTGTTCCAGTGTTTGACCACCCTCTTGGTAAAGAAATGCTTCCTAATGTCCTGTCTAAACCTCCTCTGATGCAGCTTTAAACCATTCGCACATCCTGTCCCTGGATCCCAGGGAGAAGAGGTCAGCACCTCCCTCTCCACATCCTCTCCTCAGGAAGCTGTAGAGAGCCATGAGGTTGCTCCTCAGCCTCCTTTTCTCCAAATTAGACAAGCCCAAAGTCCTCAGCCACTCATGATAGGACATTCCTTCCAGCCCTTTCACCAGCGTTGTTGCCCTCCTCTGGGCGCATTCAAGGACCTTCACATCCTTCTTAAATGGTGGGGCCCAGACCTGCACACAGTGCTCAAGGTGAGGCTGCGCTAACACCGAGCACAGCGGGAAATACTGTAGGTGGAACAGTGGGGAGAAGATGGCCTCATAAGCATGACTCTGTCTGGCTGCCTCCTCGGGTTCAGAGGCAGCTGTACAGCCCGAGCAGCGTGGCCAAGGGCTCTGCCTCCCACGCTCCAGGATGCCTTTGCTTTTCCTTACCCCTGTGGTTTGAGGGGCACAAATTTGGCACCACAAAGAGCTGCAACTAGCAGGAGCCACGTGCTGCTGCCTTCTGAACCTCTTTGGTCTTAGGAAGTGCTGGCTGGTAAGTGGAGGTTGCTCTGTGCAGACGTGGAGTGTGAAACTTCCTCCAGCAGCACTGAGCCCTTCTTCCCCCAGTACCCGGTTCCTGTTTTGCAGGTGGCCGTGTAAACACCCGAGAAAGAGTGCACTGGGGCTTGGACAGCCTTTGTGCAGCAAAATGGTTTTCAGCAGTGTGGTGGGGGTGAAATCCGAGGTCCCCAGTCAGGTAGAGGCTGCCTGCAAACTGGCGGGTGATCTTGGGAAGGGGTAAATACAGACTACGTCCTCACAGAGCTAAACGTAATGCTGAGCTTGTCTGTTGTACTACCAGCTGCCTGGACTCTGCTGAAGGACGAAGGGTGATAGAGAAGTATGAAGAAATGATCCAGCTGCTCGACAAGTAAGTGGTGGCTCAGGCAAGGCTGTAACTGTATGGAAAAATGTTTTCTTCCTCTAAGCCACCTTCCAGCACGTTTGCCAGCCCAGGGCCTGGGAATGTCCCTTTCTAAACCAGAGTGAGTTTTCTGATGAGAGGGGGAGGAATACTGTTGCTATATACCACAGCCTTTCTGCGACGTCTTGAGGTGGGAGGTTTGTGTGGGAGAAATGGGAGCTGTGCAGCCTAGCAGAAATGTTGAAACAAGCTTCTGGTGGATGGAGAAGCTGCTGTGGTAGGAAACCTGGGCTGACTAGAAGTCTCAATCCACTTGTGCCCATTCACAGAGTGTGTTTACAGTGGCTGTAATGTGTATATTCCACAGCTCGGAGTGGGAATCACTGCCCCTGACTTCAGATCTTAACATTTGATGTTAAATCTGAACTGTTCATTCTGGGTTTGCCCTTGGGAGGAACCACATCCCCAGGAAGGAGATGTCTCTGCAGGGCCTGCTCTCCATCAGCAATGAAGGGAGCTGAGGCATCTGGCTGCTGGGTGCTGCAGGGCAGCTGGAGGGAGCCCTGTTCCTGATTACCAAAACAAAGGCTGAGTAATTAATCCCTTTCAGAAGGGAGCAGACAGACAGAGGATCCCAGGTGATTTCAGCAGAGACCGTGTTTTCTGGGGGACATTTCCCAAAGTGCTCAGGTGACAATGTGATTCAGAAGAGACTTTGTTTCTCGGGTGGCTGGGACTGTCCATGACATGTGCGATACCAGGACCCCAATTCATCCCTCCGTGTTTCTGTCCCCAGTGGTGTCACTGAGCTCTTTGAGAGCTGAATTTCCCTGGGGCTGACAGTCTCTGCAGTGACTCTGAGAGAAGTGAGGGCAACTGCACCCATCCCCGGCATTGCTTAGACGCTTTGGAAATGCCCAGCAGCTGCTTATCTATTACTTTAGGCTAAATGCTTTTGAAAGTTTGTCTCCAAATTTGAATCCTCTGCTAAAAATGGTACTTACCCTCCTGACTTGATGCTGTCACTGGTTTTCAGGTGTTTGTCTTTGAAACCATGTTGTTTATGGAGGTGGTGTGGATGGGTTTTTAATATTCCTTCATGTTCTTCAGTCCTCAGACGTGGACTTGGCTTTCATTTGGTTATATGCCTTGGTCTGCTGGCTTGGTAGCTACATAGTGGATATTCTTTTTTTTTTTTTTTTTTTCTGGCAGGTATCAGGAAAAGCTCTATGTAGACTGGTCCCAGACAGTCTCTGAAAAATCACTGTACAACCTTACTCAACCGCTCATCCGGCGAGATCCAGAAACCAAACTGATCACAGTCAATTTTGATCCGCAGGTAAAAACTGCTCCCAGTTAACTTTCCTGCCTGCCTGCGGGCATGTCCCCAAGCTTGTCTCCAAGCTGTGGTCCACCCTGCACGGGAGGTCTGATGGGATTGGTACTAGATCTGTTCTGCTAGGGTCTGTGGAATCCCTTCTGTGATGGGTAACATGAATTTGCCATCCTCTTTGTGGGCTTTATCTCCTGGTAAAATATCAGGATTACAGTTTAAGCAGAGCAAATTCTACTTAAAACCAGTGGCAAAAAGTCTCTGAGTAGCCAGATGTTTAACTGGTGTCAGCATCTCCAGAACACATTTGATACTGGTGTGGGGAGTGTTGGGACCTCATCTACAGAGCGGGGTCTGTGTTAAGTGTAGCTGGAAGCCGAGTTTCCTGAAAGGGTATAAAAACCCCAGGAAAAGTTTATTTTGTTACCCCAGTGTTGTGGCTGTTGGATTGCCTTTATTGCAATACATGAGGCTTGTGATAGATTTAAGATCTTTTCTCTGTCCCCTGGAGCTCCCCTAAAGCCTGTCTCCAGCAGAGGGAGGATTGACCACCCACCTCACCCAAAGCAGAAGCAGTGGTCCAGGCCAGCAGTGTGCATGGATGGATTAAAAGCTTCTGGGGTCTGGTGAGAGCCAGGGTCTATCAACTGTAAAAATGCTATTTTCTGGGGAGGCACTGAACCTCAGGGGCCTGGGAAACGTTGGCATCAAAAACGTCCCCTGTTCCCTGGGGCATGTTGCTGTTAAAGGTTTTAGAAGCTCATTCAAGATTGGCCCTCAGTCAAAGGATTTGTTCATCTCCTTTGGAAGCTTGGTGGGAGCTGAATGGCCCCAGGAGATGTTTTCCAGCCTTCGCAAAGGTGACAGGATTTGGAGCCTGTGATGTGCTGAGCATGCCTGTTCTCAGCTCTTATACCAGTCTTTGGGTGCTTCTGTGCTGCTCTCCTCAGCTTTCCGTAGAGGTCTGTCTGATGTCCTGAAGTGCAGCAGAGGGCAAAGACTGCTATGCAGAGGGCATAGCAGCCCCTTCATGCCCTCCAGAGTAGATTGGAACACTTAATTTTTGCCAAGAAGGAGGATGTGTTCGCAACCCTTCAGCATGGAAGAGTCTTCCAGAGCTCACTTCGCATGGAGGAGAGGGCAAG